ATCGTCCCTTCCACTTGGAGGAGAAATCGGACAAGTGAAGGAACAGAAGTAGCTGCTGGTTGAGAGAGAAGGGGGAGGAGCTGTGGTTTCATCAGGATAAGAAAACACTCGGGAAGAGGCTGCGGCCATCGGTGTGACCTTCTTAGCGCCAGCCAGGTCTATGCAGCGCCTCCAGTCCAAGCACGTCTGCACTGTACCCCGGCCCACATCCTCCTGCTTTCCAGCCGTTCCCGCACTTTGGATCCACCGAGCGCCAGGCATTGACGTGCCCTCTCGCGCACCGAACATCAAACAGCATATGTGTTGTGCTGTTTTCTTCGTGTTCCTTGCCTAAACAGCAGACTACAACCTACACCGTGCTTTACCAAACAACAGACAGCAACTCTACTGTGCTTCGCCAAACAACAAACAACAACGCGGCTATGCTGTTTTCTTCGTTCTGCCCAACTCAGCTGCTGCTGCCTCTTGGAGTAGGAATGCAATCTAATTATTTTAAGTTCCTGCCGTCTATCGATTAGTTCCGGATTTCGGGATTTCCTTTAAATCCTACAAGGTGAGTTCGTATCATCCCTCTTGTAAGACAATAAATTGTTTGCGATAAAGTGTTTCACTTGCCATATACTCTAATCCCTATTGAACTACTTAATTGGAAGAAACGAGAATTTTGAGTCAAGGTGAGTAAACATGGAAATCCCATTGTTAAGGATAGGTGTGACACCCCAATCTCCTCACATTGCATATTACATAGAATTCATTCACAGAATACATAGATTCCCACATAGGTCCAAAATTACAAGAGTCTGTGCTACAAGTTACAATACAAATTTGCATAACTTACAAATTTTAAAATACATGCATTTGTAAACTAGCATCGCTCTTCTCCAAAACACATCTAGATATGGTCTTCAACATTTAAGCACATAAGGGAAGTAATCATATAATGCTTTTTCCCTTTTTGATATTATAACTGGTATTACCTACACACATATTTTTGAAAACACAAAATGAGGGTTAGACAAAAGTCTAGTGAGATTCCCTTGTTCATGCTATGCAAGGTGAGATCACGAAAAACATTTATCAAAGAATCTCTCAATCATAATGAAGAATAATAAAAGAATCGCATCATGTTTAAGTCCATCGGGTCTCTTGTTCAAAATCCCATACTTAGAAACATAATGGTTTTCCAGTCCATCAGCCTCTGGTTCCAAACCATACTTAGAATATTTTTCAATAAGCATGACCAGAGCTCCTCTGGTCTTTCTATCAGAGCTTCTGGTTAGTCGACCAAAGCCTCTGGTTCCTCGACCAGAGCTTCTGGTTGTACTTATGAAAGCCAACCAGAGCCCGTCTGGTTTGTTTTATAGAAATTCTTAAGTATAGAGACTCTTTTGAAATATCATTTTAAAATTATAAATATAGTACTAAGCTTGTTTCTAAAAGATATATAAAGCTTATTTTCAAACTAATAATTTATAAAAGATTTTTGCATCATTTTAAATCAATATCCAGAATCCTCTGGTTCTATTATGAGGGTCAATCAGAGCCCCTCTGGTTCCTTGCAAGGTACAACCAGAGCTCATCTGTTTCCTCATAATCAATGCTTTTACCCAAAGCATTTTTATTCACAACCAACAGTCATGAACTATATTATCTCCAATCCTATAACATCATTACCATCATTTCTACTAAAGACAACATCTCTAAATCCTCAAATCACCAACCTTATATCCTCCCAATAATTCCCTTTTTATGATGTTCCACCCTTATATCCTCCCATTAATTCATATGAAGTAGTTCATCCAAAGACAGACCTCAGTCATATATGTCAGAGTGAACATGTTCATAATTCCCAAACCAAATCATGGTTTCAATATAGGTTTATCCTCAAAACCTTCTATTCTCAAGAACAACCTGTTCTCCCAAAACAGTTTAAAACTCTGTTTTTCTGTAAAACTCTTTCAAACTGTTTAAAAACCCAGATACTGTTTAATTCTTTCCAAACAATCCCAAAAATAGATTCGAATAGCAACTTCTCATAGACTGTTGACGAACACAACTTTGTTTCATATTTATCCAGAAATATATTCCAAAACAATAACATCATAAAAATTGTCAAAGATAATTTATCATCTTAACCTCAAAATCAATATCAAAACTCAACAGTTGATACACAAATATATGAGGAATTTAGTTTCAAAACCACTCACATTATCAAACAGATTTCTTGATGATAAACACACAGCAAAAACTTTACTTTAACACATTATTTTCAAGTACTTTTGAAAGAACACATTATCTCACACATAATGTGTTCTTTTCTAAAAGAATGACAGTGATAAGGATAACCTTATCCAAACTTTTCTTTAAATATCCTCACCTAGGCGGTGAAAGATTTTAATAATATAAAATTGGATATGACGGTGTGGAATTTATTATTTTAAAGACCTATTTGCTTCATTACTAAGGTATCATTATCTCAATAAAATATTCATATTATCCAAACATGTATGCACTTATTTCATGTATCATGCATTGTTGCCACATTCACRCATACCATCTTATAATTTATCAATTAATCACGTAAAATTTACTTTGACCCAGGTTATCTGAAACCAGGTTATAACATTCTCTCCCCCTTCTAAGAAGTCCGTCCCGGAATTCATTCAAATAACCATGGATATTTTTCCTTCATATCTGATTCTAATTCCCATGTTGCTTCTGAACCTTTGTGAAATCGCCACTGTACCTTTACTAGACTTATTTCCTTGTTTCTCAACACAACGGGTTTTATGGTCAGTTATAGCTTCTGGAGTTTCCACAAAATTCAGTTTTTCATCCAACTTAATTTCCGGAAGTGGTATTGCCAAACTAGGATCAGCAAGGCATTTTCTTAGGTTTGACACATGGAAAGTATTGTGAATCAAACTAAGTTCCTCTGGTAATTCCAATTGATAAGCTACTGGCCCAACTCGTTTACAGATTCTGAATGGACCAATATATCTTGGACTGAGTTTATCTTTCTTTCCAAACCTCATAACTCCTTTCCAGGGAGAAACTTTCAACATTACTAAATCATTAACGCAAAATTCAATTGATTTTCTGCGCTTATCTGCGTAACTTTTCTGATGATCTTGAACTGTTTTAATTCTTTCCCGAATCTGATCAATCTTTTCAGAAGTTACTTGCACAATTTCGGGACCTGTTAGTTGTTTCTCACCTACCTCATTCCAACATACAGGGGTTCAGCATTTCCGACCATACAACACTTCATATGTAGCCGCTTTGATACTGGAATGATAGTTATTATTGTATGCAAATTTTATTAGTGGAAGATGATCTTCCCATGATCCTCCAAAATTTATGATGCAAGCTCTTAACATATCTTCAAGTGTCTGGATGTTCTTTCACTTTGTCCGTCTGTTTGAGGATGATATGCTGTGCTTAATCGAATTTGGGATCCTAATGCCTTTTGAAAACTTTCCTAGAATTTTGATGTAAATCTGCTATTTCTGTTTGAGATGATAGATAGTGGAACCCCATGTCTTGTCACAATTTCCTTAATATAAATCTGGGCTAACTTTTCCAATGAATAACTTTCTTTTATCGGTAGGAAGTGTGCATATTTGGATAGGCGATCCACTATTACCCATATGGCATCATTCCCTCTTGGGGTTCGGGTTAACTTCATAATAAAATCCATTAGGATGTGATCCCATTTCCAAACAGGAATTTCCAAGGATTGCAGTTTTCCATAGGGTCTCTGATGCTCTATCTTTACTTGTAGGCACGTCATACATTTTTCTACATACCTTGCTATGTCTTTCTTTAGTCCTGGC